GCAGTAGACAAAGCTACTGCCCCCTGTTTCTTACAGGACCAGGAAACTATAGAATTTCCGACAAATTGGCAGCTACCTGTTGTACTCCGACGATCGGTTAAGCTACCAGCGAAGTCGGAATCACTATATCCGACAAGTTCAAAGTGATCACCCTTAGTGTACCATAGGCCAACATCGAGAGTGCCTTTCAAGTAGCGAAAAATTCGCTTAACTGCAGACAGGTGGCTCTCTTTGGGATTAGACTGGAATCGAGCACAGAGACATACACTGTGCTGTATGTCTGGCCAACTAGCCGTGAGGTACAATAAGGACCCTATCATTCCGCGATATTGAGACTCATCAACCGGAAGCCTGGTCTCGTCTTTATCTAGTTTAATGTTGACAGCCATGGGAGTAGGGGCAGAATTTAAAGAGGAAAAACCAAATTTACTTAACATGTTAGATATGTATTTGGACTGATTAATGAAGGTACCATGAGCATTTTGTTTGATCTGGAGACCGAGGAAGAACTGGAGTTCGCCCATCATGCTCATTTCAAACACTTTCTTCATGGTTTCGCAAAAATCAGCACATAGTTTGGGATTAGTAGACCCAAATACGATATCATCAACGTAAATTTGAACAAGAAGAAGATCATGGGAGTTATGTTTAATAAACAGGGTTTTGTCGACAGACCCACGAGTGAAACCATGTCCACAAAGAAAGGAGGTGAGGCGCTCATACCAAGCTCGAGGAGCTTGTTTGAGACCATATAAAGCCTTCCTAAGTTTGTAAACATGATCAGGGTATTCGGGATCGACAAATCCAGGTGGTTGGGCGACATAGACTTCCTCATGAATTTCACCGTTTAAAAAAGCACTCTTTACGTCCATTTGAAATAACGGAAAATTTTTAAAACAGGCAAAGGCACATAATAGACGTATAGACTCAATACGAGCGACGGGAGCGAATGTCTCGTCATAATCAACGCCCTCCTCTTGAGAGTACCCTTGGGCTACCAAACGAGCCTTGTTTCGGGTAATTATCCCATCCTCATCGAACTTGTTTCGAAAAATCCACTTGGTACCAATAATAGTTTGATTTAATGGACGAGGGACAAGATCCCAAACATGTAAATAAGCAAATTGATTCATTTCTTCATGCATGGCAAGATTCCAGTACTCATCACGTAAGGCTTCCTTGTAATTTTTCGGTTCATGCTGAGAAACAAACGCATACTGACCTGGTGTGTATTTGCCACGAGTGCGCAGTCCATCAGTCACATCGCCTATTACTTGGGTGACTGGATGTCGACGCTGAATGTGAGGAGGAGCAGTAGGACCTGTTTCCTGGGGAATTTGATCATCCAGCAAGGCTGCAGATGACTGATCAGATGCAGATGCTTCATTCTGTGGTGAGGAAACCGAAGCAAGTGGACTAGAACTTGAAGAAGCATGCTGGGAATCAGGTCGAGTCATTTCCAGAAGATCAAACAGCGGCGTATCCTGATCTGTGTCACTCAAGGGTAAAGTATTATCATGAAAAATAACATGGACAGATTCCTCAACCTTTTTGGTGCGTTGATTATAAACACGATATGCTTGCCCTTGGTAGAGTACCCAAGGAAAATAGCCTTATCAGACTTTGAGTCAAATTTCCCAAGCTTATCCCTGGTATTCAGCACATAACAACAGCAACCAAACGGATGGAAATATGAAATGTTGGGTGTTCTGGCCTTGAAAACTTCATAAGGTGTTTTATCAAGGCCTTTGCGAATAAGCACCCTATTTAAGACATGACATGCCGTATTAATAGCTTCAGCCCCAGAAAAACTTAGGTAAATTGTACTCAAGCAGCATAGTACGAGCACATTCAATGATTGTGCGATTTTTTCTCTCGACGACCCCATTTTGCTGTGGAGTTCGTGGAGCTGAAAAAGTATACATAATACCAGCTTCATTGCAAATAGTCTCAAACTCATCGGAGATGAATTCTCCACAGTTATCACTCCGAACAGATTTGATTTTTCCAGTAAAGAGGGCCACGAAAATTTTAAAGCTTTTGACAGTGTCATCTTTATGAGCTAAAAAGTAGACCCAAGAGTATCTGGAGAAATCATCTACCAAGACAAAAACATAATCCTTACCACCCAAACTTGTGACATTACACGGTCCGAAGAGGTCCATATGGATCAATTCAAACATTCCTGTGGAAGTGATGTCAAGTTTGGGTTTGAAAGGCTTTTTCCTATGTTTTCCAGAAATACAAGCTTCACAAAAGAAGTCTCTTTTATCTTTTAAGAGAGGCAGACCTCTAACACAGTTGGATCGAGACAACTGGACCAGTTTTTGAAAACTGATATGTCCCATCTTACGATGCCAGAGAACTTCTTGTTGAGAGGAAGCGGTAAAACATAACTCATGAAAGGCATCCAAGTCATTAAAATTGATGGTATACATGTTGTTAACCCTGTTACCTACAAAAACCACCTTTTTGTCACAAATCCGTTCAACTATGCAGTGAGTGGATTCAAAGATAACTCGATTTCCACTCACACATAGTTGACTGATGGACAGCAAGTTATGATGGAGTCCTTCTACAAGAAGAACATTTTTAATGGTAGGCATGGGAGTTTTACCAATTATTCCAGTTCCAACAATTTGACCAACACCATTATCACCAAAAACAACATTACCACCATTCAGAGGAGTCAACTCAGAGAAAAGAAATTTCCTGCCCGACATGTGGTGTGAGCAGCCACTGTCTAAGTACCAAATATTATCTTGGCACACACATGATCAGACTTAGAGGTAGAGAATTTTACCTGCTCCTTACCATTGTGTGGGACAACGAATCCCATGAAAGCTTCCTCATCGAAGTGATTTATCTCTGGTTCGGAATCGTAGTCACTCCATGAGGCTTTCATAGCCTTCTCTTTAGCACGCAGAGTTTGAGGACAGTGGGCACGTATGTGGCCGTGCTTCCCACACTTGTAACATGCCTGAGATTCTTTCTCTGTAGGACCTGTATCAACAAATCTGGTCTGCTGTGGAGGCAGCCTATCTTGAAAAACACGTTTAGTACGATCATAGTTATGATGCCTGGATCCATCGAACTTGTTACGTTGCTCATTTTTATGTTTTAGCATACGATGAAATCGTTTGCTAACAAGGGCAAACTCTTTGTCAAACTCAGATTCAGACTCACTGTCAGAATCATAAGTAATGGCTGTAGACTTAAAAGCAAGGTTTTTTCTGCGTTTATCGTCATCTAGATTAACCTGTTGAATGACATTTTCATGACTCAGCAGAGACCCGATCAATTCATTTATAGGAAGTATAGAAAGATTCTTGGCTTCCTCAATGGCGGTGCGCTTTGGCAACCACTCTTTGGGCAAGGATCGAAGAATCTTCCTATTAAGATCTTTGACTTGAAAGATACGCCCTAATCCTTTCAATTTATTAATCAAAATGGTGAACCGGGAATACATATCATGAATTGATTCATCAGGATTCATAGTAAATGATTCATACTCATGAACAAGTAAGTCAATACGAGATTCACGAATATTGGAGGTACCTTCATAAGTGCTTTGGAGTGCAGACCATATCTCTTTCGCGGTTTCACAATTTTCAACCTGGTCGGCCTCATCGGGAGTCATGGCCGATTGCAAAACGTGCATTGCTCGTTGATTGAGCTGGGCGCTCTTCTTTTGGGCAGCCGACCACATCTCTTGTTCGTCCTCATGCATCGGAATAGGGCCGTTCTGCACAATCAGCCAAAGCTCCTCATCGACACCCCACATGAACTGCTTCATCCTTTTCTTCCATGCCGTGTAATTGGCGCCGGTAAAGATGGGAGGATGGTTCAGGGTTGCTTGACCAAAGGAGCTGGAAGCCATTGGATCGTGTCCTTGGCAGCAGCAAGCCTCGTCAAGGATTAGCTCTGATACCACTTGTGATCAGGCAACCGATTTGGGATTTTAGGGATTTGGTTTTCTGTTCCCTTGAATAGAAGACGAGAGAAGAGGACGATGGGAAATGAAAGAATAACGAAGAAGCCAAAGTCTTCTTCTACAGAAATAAAAGAGACGGGCTCAAGAGGCAAAGCCCACAACTAAAGAATGCGGACTAAAAGAAGAAATTAAAAACGAAATTGGGCTTAGGCAGAAATGAGCCCACGGTGATCCTTGAACAGCTCAGAGAGTTTCTTCTTCTTCCTTGGACAAAGTCCTTAGAAGCAGAGGGTTTGACGAAACAGAGCAAGGAGCCAAAAACTGAAACAAAACACAATGAAGAAAGAGCTCGAAGAACACAGGGATTTTAACGAGGTTCCCCAATCTACGGGTCAGTCCTCGTCCCGGAGATAGCACCTGCTACACTCCGAGAGACTCTTTTTTTATTGATTTTTTCCTATCAAAAGAACACAAAATTACAGTACTCAAAATGGAAGAAGACCCGAATCCAATCCAGATTCGTACACACCACCAGCAACTGATTCCTATACCTTCAGTTGTTGAACCCCTCAGAAGTTCCCAATAGCCCTGTACCACTATCTTTCTGAGTAATTACAAAAATCAAAGACAAGCAAATTTATAGAGATTACAACTAGCCGTTGCTTCTTCATAAGGAAAGTGCAGCAAGGATCTTTCCTTTCCTTCTTCCTCCACAATAGCAACGGTCAGAAATCAATCTTCAACTTGCCATCTTTCAACAGATATTTGACGGTCGTCTCGATTTCAGCTATCAGCGGTGCATTCGATCAACGGCACCGCAAGAGTTTCCATCGCGAAACATCGAATCAACATCGCTGGAAACGAATTCGGCACCGACAGTGGCATTTGGTTTTCCCGAGGAAACAACTACACGGCCACGAAGGGAGCGATTACTCGTGGGCTGGCGCTCCAGCTGGTGCAGAAAGGGATCCGGGTCAATGGCGTTGCTCCGGGTCCGATACGGACTCCCTTGATCCCGGCGTCGTTCAGGGAGGAGAAAGTGACGAGCTTTGGGAAGGAAGTGCCGATGCAGAGAGCTGGGCAGCCGGTGGAGGTGGCGCCGTCGTATGTTTTCCTGGCCTGCAATCATTGCTCCTCTTACATCACCGGCCAGGTCATTCACCCCAATGGTACGTCCAACTTGTTCTCTTCACCTACATTCCATTTGACGGAGAGGGGTTTGATTTATTATTGATACTACAATGTGATATTTGCAGGTGGTGTGGTGGTGAACGGTTGAAGGGCGAGGTGAATCTGCGAGAATGGTAGATGCAGTGCAGTGTTGGTGCATTTTGCCTTTGGCGAGTCCTTTTGTGCTAGAGCCGGATCTTGTGATATGAAAGCCTAGTCAGTGAAATAAGAGGCTGATGTAAAATACAACAAAGCGATACAAATGGAAGAGGGTACATTTTATTTATGCTTTGGTTAACAGAGCAGTAGTTCCTCTACCTCCCCAGTCTCCGATTGCCAGCGGAACTTGGAAGCTGACCGTCGGGCTAACATTTCTAGGTGCTGTTGCAAGTCGACAAGGAAATGTACAACTCTCCTATACATTAGAGTGGTCACTGATTTGCTTCGTGTATTGCTCTTAAAGTGACTTGATTTCGGCAAAAACAATGCATCAAATCATTAGCTCCGCCGATGAGAGCGACCCTAAACTCTAAGTGTAAAAATGGAGGAGACTCAAAAAGTAACTTACCATCTCATTAGCAAATCATCATCAATCACTTACATTATAGGCTTCACAATCTACCGAATTTTTTGCCACGTAAGCATTTTTCACTTCTCCCTTATGAGTTCCATCCATTTCCTCTCGACCTTTTGTACTACAGCGATGACTTTTGGTAACCAAAACGGTCAGGCATCAATTGTGTACTATTAAGAAACGGCCAGGCATCTAAAATCTGTATCCTAATCTCAATTCAAAAACTAAATCTGATATTTGTCTAAATTATAATTACAAATTCGATAATAGGTTCGGTGACGGTGATGTTCAATTTCAAAAGTATGTGGTAGCTATTTAGCTTAGAGTTAGAGTTCTTTCTATTATGAATCTCCTTCACTATATCTCCTTAATTCCAATACTGCATTGTTGGAGTTTCTTAATTTTCTTACAATTGTCTGGGTCAATTTCATTAGCAGATTAAGCTTCATTCTTTCTTCTGACTTTCTAACTTTTCTATCATGAAAGTAACTTATTGGCAAGGATTAAAAAATTATACCGTTCCGGCAATTCGACCAAAAAAACCTCATATCAAAAACAAAAATAGTAGATGATATTTAATGGTATGAAACGGTTGAACCACGATTTCAGTATAAAATATCCTAACGCTTATTTTTCCAGTACGACCAACTGTACGCTTTTTCAATCATTGCTTATTAGTAAACATAATTTTGATATCAGCTATTTCCTCGGTTCCATTTTCATTAGCCCATTAAACCTCTTATAGGATCTTGATTTTCTTAATAATAGTAAATTGATTTCTGTGTAGTCAAGGAGAATCGAGTTTTTTTTTTGTGAGAAAGAGAGCTCAGGGGGCGCTCTAACCCTTAAGCATTAACTAAACGAGGGGGTTGAACCCCAACAACATCAAAGTACATCCAATAGTTTAACATCAGACTCGGGATATTTATAACATGGACCCCTATCTGTAGCAAGTGCCCAATACTAGCCAAATAATCTGCCGTGTAATTTCTCTCTCGGAACACATGTTTGATTCGTACTTCCCACTCCAACTCTAGCAGCCGCCGAGCCTCGGCTATCCATGTATGATGCTGGTGCTCCTCCACTCCAGACTATATCAAGTGAATTGTTGTCGCCGAGTCTGTCTGCCGCTCGACTTTTCGGACCCCATAATCCCATGCCATTCTTAATCCATGAACAATGCCAACAAGCTCAGTATGAGTTATGGAACCGCCACCCAGATTAGCCGCAAAGGCTCTAATAAACCTGCCATCCTACTCCCGCAATACGCCCCCGCCGCCGTAATTCCCTGGCTCAAACTGACAGATTTATCAGTATTCAAACACACCCAACCTTCAGCGGGTCCCTGCCAGCTCACCATTTTCGTTACCCGAGCTTGGCTCTCATAAAAAACTATCTCGGCCTGATCGAAAGCCATTTTGGTTTGTACACACATCTGCTTCACCTGCGCCACCAAGGAATGGGTTGACGCTAGCTGCTTCTCAAAGACCCAACAGTTCCTATTCTTCCAAAGTTTCTAGCACATAATCGCAAACAAGGTAGGGTTTACAGTTGTGCCACTTCCTGTCAGGTACTACAACATCCATTTGTTCATACCCTCCTCAAAGAAGGATTCATCTTGTTCGCTCGTCAGCACTTCCGCCCTGAACATGCGTGCATATCAGTTACGAAGCACATGGATGGGAGTTTCAGGCCCCGCACCACAGATCGGGCAAGAGTCTTCTTGCGCCAAGTGCCTTCGTCGACGTTCAGCATTCGTCAGCAATCTTTGGTGAAGCACTAGCCATAGAAACTCATTTGTCCCCTGCGGACCATGCACTCTCCATATAGCTTTCCAGGTCAGGATGCGCGGCAGGTTTCCATCATCGCCCCTGAGCAGCTCGCAAGCAGTCACCATAGTGAAACGGCCCGACAGGGAGAACCGCCAGGTTGGTATGTCCGGGCCGGCTTCGCGTGGAACCAGGTGAAGCAGGAGTTGGGCAGCTACAGCCTCCGGGACAAAGGCTCTCACAAAGTCTATGTTTCATTCTCCATTCAGAACTAAGTCTGCTACAACCAACTTTTTCGCCTCGTTCGGGATATTCTGTGCAAACTCGATCAGGGGTGGCCCATCCTATAGCCAGCGATCAGTCCAAAACATAACTTGCATACCACTCTTGATTTTCCATAGCGTAGCTTCCGGTAGAAGTTGGAGAACTCGAAGGACTCTCCGCCAAAGGTTGAATAGACGTCCCTCTTGCCTCGTCTGCCATCCCTCATCCGACCATCTAAGGTCCTTGCTTCTCATTACACGAGCCCACAAACTCTTTGACTCTGTAAAGAGTCTCCACACAATTTTCATCATATATGCCTCGTTGATTTCCGTTGCACTGCACAAACCGAGCCCTCCCTCGTCCTTAGGTTTGCAAACTGTCTCCCAATCCAAAAGGTGGATTTTTCGGCCGTGCTCGAAACTTCCCCAGAGGAAGCTTCTTACTTTCTTGTCGATGTATTCGCGGATGGCAGCTGGCAAAAAGGTGGTTTGCATAGTGTATGCCGGTAGCGCCATGAGCACAGATGGCACTAAGGTGATTCTGCCCGCTAGAGAGATTGATGTAACCTTCTACCCAGCCAGCTTGGCATCAATCCTGTCAACCAGCTCTGTAAACGTACTCTTCGAGACTCGGTCATGTATAACCGCAACCCCCACGTATCTACCCAAATTACTGGTTTCCGGAATGCCCAGGTCACTACTCAGCCTGCTCCGATCTGCACTACTAACATTATGGGAGAAGAAAACTCTCGATTTGGGACGGCTGACCTGTTGCCCCGATGCCGCACCAAATTCCTCCAAAATGCTCGTGATCGTACCTGCCTGTTCCGTGGTTGCCACCCCAAATAAGATCAGGTCATCTGCGAAGAAAGAGTGTGACAGCGGGGCCCCTGCGCTGATAATGTGATCGACCGCCAACTACCACTCTCCACCGCCGCTGAGATGAGATGGCCAAGTCTCTCCATACAAAGGGTGAAAATATACAGAGACAAAGGGCATCCCTGGCGGAGACCCCGTGTCGACATAAACGGTTGTGTAAGTCCCCCGTTCCACTGGATCTGCATACTCACGGAAGATATATAGCTCATGGTCACATCGATGAATTTTTGGGGAGCTCCCGCCGCTTGCAAGGTATCCTAGACAAAAGACCACTTGATCCGATCATATGCCTTGGCCATGTCAATTTTGAGCACCATCCAACCTAGCTTTCCCATCTTGGCCCGCATCGAATGTACAACCTCCTGCAAAATACAGATATTATCAGTAATATGTTGTCCCGGGATGAAATTGGTTTGCGTCTCGTGGACCAGCCGAGGCATCAATGGTTTTAAACGCTCTGTCAGGCACTTAGTGATCATTTTGTAGGTCACGTTGAAGAGGCTAATGGATCTGAACTGCTCAATCAAAGTTGGTCGTGCGATCTTCGGTATCAAGACCACAATGGTCTTATTGACAACCCGAACTTGAGCTGGCTCTTCCCAAACAGCCCGCACAAATTCCACCACTTCCTTTTTAACAATATTCCATCACTGTTGGTAGAACAGCGGGTTTAACCCGTACTTTCCTGGGGCTTTAAGGGCCCCCATAGCCTTCACCGCTCCATAAACTTCTTCCTCTGAGAGCTGGTTTTCAAGAGGCAGCCACAAGTGTCCGGGAACCTCATCAAAGGCCGCTGGAATAGAAGCAATAGGGAGGCTATCATCCATATACAACTCTATGTAATAATGATGTGCCATAGAAGGAGCTCGTCTTGGTCATCAACCCATTCCCCCAAGGAGTTCTTTAAAGCGGTCACTCTGTTTGTCGTCACCTTTGAATCGTCAGTGCATGAAAGTACTTGGTATTACGGTCGCCCATAGTCACATAGTTTGAGCAAGAATTTTGATACCATAATAATTCCTCTTGAACGAGGACCTCCTCCAACTCATCTCTAGCTTTCTTTAGTGCCTCATAGTCTAATTCCCCATCATATCTTATTTCCAGCCTCTCTATTCGTGCCATGAGTGCATCCTTTTTCTTTAGAATATCCCCAAACATGTGGTAGTTCCACAGTCTTGTTGTCGAGGAAAACTCAGCAATGGCTATAAGCAGATCAGTCCCTCTTCGCCACGCTTGCTTTTTCATTGATTTGAACCCTTCGTGCGTCAACCACGGCGCCATAAACTTGAACGGTTTTGGTCCCGAGGCCTGGAACCCAGGGTTTAGTTGCAGCAGTAGGGGGCGGTGGTCACTCTTCTTTACCCTAGGGAGGTGGCGAACTAATGTTTCTGGGAAAAGCAATGTCCAAGCAAGGTTCCCCATTGCCCGATCCAATCTTTCCCTCACTCTCGATCAAAACCAAGTATAGGGTGGACCCATAAAACCAAGATCAATCAGTTCTGCATCAAGGACACACTCCTGAAAATCTTTCGCACGACTAGCGTCAAACGAGACTCCCCCCATCTTATCTGATGGCTGCAGGATCTAGTTGAAATCCCCTGCCAATAACCACGGATTCACCATGTTTTCTGATAATATGCGTATAGAATGCCATAACTCCCAGCGTTGGACTAAAGCAGGGTTAGCGTAGATTGCTGTGAGCATCCAAGTAACCCACCCACTTTGAACACGAACGTGGAGAAACTGAGCCGATCTGTCCACCTCAGTTACCGTAACCAACGACGAGTCCTAGGTCAGCCAAATACCACCCGAGAAATCCACCGCATCAACAATAAATTCTTTATCGTATCCCTTGTCCTTCACAACCTCTTGAGCCTTACTACCGCTGATCCGGGGTGCAATGATGATAGTAATACAAGGCAGCTGCTTTCTTCTATATTCTCTAAACATCCTTGGGAAGCCTTTGCTTCTCGCTCCCCTACAATTTCATGCAAAAATGTTGAGCTTCATTTGACACATGGTAGAGTAGGACTCGGTTGACGCCAGTTTATGCTAATGATGGGGGAGCCTCATGACTGAGACTCTCCCTCATGTTCACCGGAATAGAATTTGTATTTCTCTTCACCTTCAACCTCCATGCCCACTTCTCTAGGTTCTGGAAGTCTAGAACGATGATCATTATTCTCATGCGCTACTGATTGAGTCTTCTCTCCTGTCGTAGTCATGAGATCCTGAGGGTTTGTAGTAGTCTGGGGTCTCGGCTCTCTATTCGCCTCATGCATGAGTGGCGTGGCCAGTAACGAGGAATGTCCAACGCTGGATGGGACCGTCAGGACAGCTTCTTTTTGTAGACGCTGGCTTTTCATGGTGGGTTTACTCACATGCTCCTTCCCCGTACGTTTCCCCTCTGACTTCTCTTACCATTTAGTATTTTGATTATTCTGTCTCAAATTATCACCTTTGAGCTTGCCGCTAGATCCTATAACATCTGTTGTGTTCACTCCTCTGGGTATGTCAACATTCTCCTCTTCGCTTAGCACGGAAAAGCGGGATCCCGTCTTGTCACTAGCAGCGTGCTCGAACCCACGTTGAGGCTGTTTACCAGCCTTCCCATTTGGCGTGTCCTTTCGCGCCTTCACCTTCTTCTTTGCAATCACCCACTCGTTATATACTTGCTCCTTCTCTGGTGGTCTTTGGGATGGTGGATTTCCCATCTGCTCGGCCAGCTCATGCGGGTCCGGTGGGCTAACTGTCTCTTGGTCCATCTTCGTCGGCGGGGTACAAGCACAGCGGCCTCGTGCCGCATATGTTCCACATTGTAGGCAAATGTTCTCCAAACCCTCATATTGAATGAAATATTTAATCCCATGTATCTTAAATTGTAACAAGAGCGGCTTCGTAATGTCCACTTGGACACAAACTCGCGCATAGTCCAGTCTAGCACCCGTGCTCGTTGCATGGTCCACCCGTAGCAGCTTCCCAATGCGCTGCGCAATCTTCATCATTGCATCTGGGTGAAAATAATGGGCAGGTAGGTCGAGTAACCGAGCCCACACCAAAGTTGACAAGATCTCATGATTATACGGGTTGAAATCCTTGTCCCACATGTGAACCGTGAGATAGTTCTCTCCAATCATCCATGGCCACCCGGTGGTTGCACGCTCATAATCTATACCGCTCGTAAAGCGTACAAGATAGTACCCATTTTTGGCCTAGGCTACTTGGATACCTCCTGCTTTCACCCATATGGCGTTTAGCCGATTGGACACTCCCGTGTACGACACTGATCTTCCTAGGACTTTCACCACTAGTGCTTATCTATAAGCTCTGCAAAACTTTCTTTCTTTTCTTGCGGTGAAGAGTATTGGTGGGCACAACGAGCCTTCTTCCTCCATAAAACCTCCATCTCTCCCATCCTGCCTCATGGCCTCCGCTACGTCTTCAGAATCCGAGTCTGCAACGTAACAAACGTCTGTCTTGATGATGTCGCTGAAGAGGCGTCTCGCCGCACCTGTCCCAGAGGTCCACGCTGGTTTCTCTAGGCTGCGCAGGGTGTTGCGAACCGTCTCCTTATCACGGACATCCAAAATCTCTACATCCTCCAACTCTTCCGGCTAGATTGAGGGCATAGTCGACTTAGCTCGTTTCTTGCTTTGCTGTGTTTCTCTATCCCCTTTAGGGTTTGGAGAAGACGTTGTCGATGGCAGTCTTCTCTGACCAGTGATTGTTTCTGCATGGTGGGAGGCGCCAGGGCCTCCTCCGGCCAGCGGTAAATCCACCGCCGGCATTGGCAAGGCGAACCCTAGGATAAGGAGCTACGAAGGAAGAAGGTTCCAATGGTGAAGGTGGTGTGGAGGAACCAAGGCACAGAAGCAGCCACTTGGGAGATCGAGGAGGACATGAGGAAGAACTATCCTGAGTTGTTTCTTGACATACCTTTGTAATCGTATGATTTGATTATGATTTGTTGGCGGTAATAAGATATAATCGGTAATAAAAGTGAAGAATCATGAACTTCTTATGCACTCAGTTTCTCAATTTCGGGGACGAAATTTTTATAACGGGGGAGGAAATGTAATAACTCCATTCATGCATCCGGAAGGAGGAGTTGGAACTTTAACTAGGAGGGCCATGGTGAGCTGGAGATAGTGTCGGTGCTCCCTCCATGTCCCCAATCCTTCCCCTTTTTCCATAAACTGACAACCAATCTTCCCCCATAAATCAAACCATCCATCTCACTCTCTGTATTTCCTACCACTACTAACCCTCCAGATCAACACTTGTTCCCATCATCATCAAGCTCACTCCTTTCCATCCGCCAACCTCTCATCGTCGCCGTCATCGTCATCACCGGAGGAGGAAGGTGCGACCCATAGCTACTGACTTCGCATCTCCCATTCTCTCTCGACCAGTAGGTAAGCAAAACGAATCCCCTCTTCATTCAAGCTTCAAGGCTTCATAACTAACAAGCAAATGATCTTTCTACGACGTAGCTTCGGCGGCGAAAGAGCGGGGTGACCAAACGACGATTCAAACAAGGAATTGAGGTCCTAAGGCTTCCTACCTAGGCCTAGACTCGCATTAGAGGTAAGGAAGCTCAACCCCTCGTGCTAAAAGCACCATTTTTGGTGAGTTATTCGACTTTGTAGGAATCTGGGAATTTAGCGACAGAATTCCAGGTCTTTAGCAACGGTTATGTCGTCGTCGCTAAAGGCCAGTCAGTGAGTAAAAATACCAGACCTTTTGAGACGGATAGCATGGGTAATTCGTGACAGACTCAATACCCGTCACTAAAAGAGCTGTAGGTTAATAAGTATGAATTATGTATATTTATTTAGTCGTTAATTAAATAGGTATCTTAGTAGTGACTGGACTAAGATATTAAATAATAACTATAATTAGATAAAATGGTTTAGTTGAGTTAATCAATTATTTTATCCAATAATATAAAGACCATAATATGATAAGAGGTTTTTAAGCAACTTAATAGATTAAGATGATTTAAGTATTAGTTAGAAAATATTAGTTTAACGGGTGTGATATTGGGACAATTTAAACCAGAAAATGATATTAGCAAGTTAGATTAATCTAAGTTAGTTAATGGGTAAATTAACTAGTTTATTCATTAGAGTAATATGTGTTATAATATGCGCTTCTTGAATCCGATTAGGTAAGTGAGCTTAGCATGATTGTTTTTCAAGTATTTAAATTGGCTAAGATCTTGAACTATTAGACTTATGGAGCAATATGATTTTAGTATTTTAATTGGTACGTTAATTAGCCATACTTTGCAAATATCGCAAGTAGTCCCACCGATCTAGTACCGTCGCTAAGAACCCAAAACTCAACCAATCTAACTTTGAATTTCACCATAGGGTCAAGAGGAATCAACCAAGTCAAGGGCCCCAACCTTCACGTTATACCTTCTTGAATTAATAAGGTGCGTGGTTTGAGGGGCTAGTTAGTATTTCGCTTTAATTTATCTAATTATGTTATTTAATTAAGTTATGCTCTATATGTATGTCCACGACAAGTGTATTTATGTTAGTAAGCATGTCATTGTATTCCATCATGAAGTTATGTTTTGAGCAAGATTATGGACTTACGTTCCATGTTACCAAGTTATCAAGTAAGAACATGTTTTAACTACTCACTTGACTAGTGCACGCGGCTACCCTACTTCCCGTCAGGTGGAAGTCAAGTTCAGGATTATGTTACTTCCCGCCAGGTGGAAGTTAACATTCATGTTATAATTGTGTTACTTCCCGTCAGGTGGAAGTTACACCCATGTTATATCTTCCCATCAGGTGGAAGTTTACGTTTGGTGGCCGTTAGTGTGCTAGATGAGTCGAGTTCGGGGCCCCCTTTCACACGAGTAATAAGAATACTAAATTTAAGCATGAAGCATTGCATGAGTATATTTATTTATTCCAGTGTTGCTATTAAGAGTTTTCAACATTAAAGCGAAACTAGGATTAGGACTGACCCCAACGCCCGCACTCAGGAGCTGCAGGAAACCAGGAGCACCCAGATCAATCGCAAGGACATAGCTGCTACCCAAGATGTCATCACAAGGGTTAGTGGCCCGAAGAGCTTCCAGCGGAACTTGTTTAAGTTTATGCATTGTTGGTGGACTTGAGACTTAATGAGGATTATGTTTGAATACTATCTTAAGATGGATTTTCCTTGTATTTTGGAATGTTGTTTATGGGACTTTTATGCATTTATTATTCGACTAATAACAAGGGTACTTTGGTAAAATTAGTCACCGGCCGGTCTAGGTTGTTACAAATCTCTTTGGATAGCGATTTCTAGTACTTTAGTGGACCCCTTTTGGGTTGGCCACATTACAGGGAAATCTTGTCGTAATTAAGATACATGAAGGAATTGCAATCACTCTCATCAGTCTATCAGTTAAGGCCATTTGCTCTTGGTAAATTATACATGGTATTAATGATGCCTATTACATAGTCACAGATTCATAATGTTTTTTTATTTTTTATTTTGAGGAAATGCTCAATTGATCATCAAAGATGCTCCAGAAAGGAAATCTTCCCGTTTGAGAGCCGACTCCATTCTAAAGGAAGTTCTTCTTTCTCTCTTCTCACTCCCTGTGTCAATCTCGTGTCATATGCTCCATGGAGCTTTCATAGAGCTGCCCACCTCGTGGCATAACAGACTCTTTTATCGGGATTCCGGTTGCATACGGACTACCGTTCTTTATTAATGTCAGTTTCATATTGTTGTTGTCCGGCCATGCCCTGTTGGCTTGTCTTGTATAAAAAAAATGTTATTATTCACTAAGTAAAAATGTAATCAGTTACCTAAGAGTTACATAAACCTCATTCTACAACTCTTACACAAGATATAAATGCATTACATATCAAATTATGTAACGACAATTATTTCTTACGAAATCATTAAATCAGACGTGCCATGTAGGGCTTCCACAATCATTTAACTGCTTACATAAAAAGGTGTAAATATTCCTCAAGTGAGAGGTTGTTCATTAAGTAAGGCTTACGTAACTTGATTTCACAATAATTAAACAAAAGTGTTATTTCTAAAAAAATATTATTTGTAACTATTGTATTTATGTAATAAAATTAATGTTCACATTTGTTCTAAGCTATTGTAGGAATTTTCAATATTATTTTTTCAGCGATTGGATTAGCATAATGATTAACAGGCCTCATATATTCTGTGTAAAGGCCAACATTTATAGTAAGATTCATACTTTTAATGGGCATGGGCATCCAAAAAACTTCTAATCTTGGACTTCATCCCAATAATATGAAGAAGGGCAGGTGCCACTCCATTAACATTACGAAAATGGAAGAAAAGACGAACAAGAAACGGAAGGGACGAAAGAGGCACTATTTGACCTCCACAATCAATATTCTCAACGAGACATAAGACTCCTCTTCTGAAATTACCCTCCATTGCAATCAAAATCCATTGCATACCTACTTCCTATTAATTCTTAATAGAAAAGAAAGCACTTATCGAATCCACCTGTAGACTACCCACCGGCCAACGAGCCAGTCACAATACTAGTTTAAATTAATATAACAATCATTATAACTAAATTAATATTTAATTAGTTTGGCTAATTGGTAACTATCAAATAAGTCTAAATTTTATTAACTATAAAATACAATATCATAACTAAACCCACCAAATTAATATTTAATTGTTAGTTAACCGAATTACTTAAAATAATATAACATCTAAATTTTATCTAAATTTTATTAACTTCATAACTAAACTCGCCAAACTATATATCTAATTAATATTTAATTTCATAACTAAACTCACCAAAATATATATCAAATTAATATTAAATTGCTAGTTAACCGAATTAATTAATATAATATAACATTATAATTTTATTTAATGTATCAATATGTAATTTATATATAATATTTAGTATCTATGTATATATATTATAGGAGACGACTGGTATGCTCCAGGAGCATAATATGCTCCAGATGATCTGGCCGTTAGAAGTATATGAAATCAAACCAAATCATCTAAATGAAACAAACTAAAAAATTGAAGTAAATCAAATTAATTATCATGGTAATCACTTCGTTTGAACACCCCTACTTTTTGGTGAGTTTGACCTTAAAATTGG